GAATGAATCCCACTAGTCTGAGCCTGGACACCTGTAATGAGCTGCTGGAAATTGCTTTCCTCCCTCTTTGCCTGTCTTCTTCGCTGGGGGCCATCATATGGGAGGTGGTGGGTACGGGGCACGCAGAATCCTGAAGCAGAGAAACCAGAAGCCTGAACCAGAGCCACTGAAGAACTATCCCTGGAAACACTGACCTCTGGACTTCCTGTTCAGTGAGATAATCAAATGCTTCATGGTGTCTGTGAAGAAATCATTCGCATATGGCCAAAATCATTCCTGAGATGACCCTCTGCTTATCGCTGTGGGGAGGACGCAATGATCTAACAATGTCTCCCAGCCACTGCTCCGCCCTTGCCCAACAGTGCGGCCTCATTGCGTTTTAAGTTTTGTAAGGCTCTCTGAACCTCAGGCTGAGAGGCATCTGATGCCCTGCTGTGGCGTCTCCCAAGAACAGAAAGGTCCTGAGAGGTCACAGAAATCCTAACTCCTGGGGCTGAGGACTAAGAGTGCCTGTCGAGGACAAGGCTGGGTGGTTTTGAGGGGGTGGGATGAAGGTTCCCCAAGGACGACCCACCTGAGCCAAGTTCGCCCCTCACTTCCCCTGGAATCCCAGGCCCTCTCTGGGCCTCACTGCTCTGATGTGTGCAGCCAGTTTATTGCTGCCAGTGGTAGTGGCAGGAAGTCACTCAGGAGGCTCCGGCCAGGAACTGTAAGCCTTCATCTGGAACGTGAGGCCCACAGGTCAGGTACAGTAGGTGCCGGAAGCATCCCCCAGCCCTGGCGACAAACCCCGGACATGCCTCTGGGAGAATCTCCATGTGTCCAGATGTCCAACGTCCAGCAGAAAAACCAGACATCTGGGCCACGGCCACACACCAGGGCCAGCAGCTTTGCTGTCTTATCTGGCTTCTGCGGGGTCATGAGGATGACATCAGAATTCTCCCCGAGACACACACACACACACACACACACACACACACACACACCACAGGCTCTGCCTGGGAAAGGGCAGCCCTTTCCACCTACACCCTGCTTCCTGCCTCCTGGGGTTAAGGTCTGCTTTGCATCTTTGTCTGCATCCTAAAGACTACAAACAAATTGTGCTAGAAAAGGACAATATGGTGTGTGTGTTGCCTCCTTCAAAGCTGAAAACCAGCCTCATTAGGCTAAGGGCAGTTCTTAAGTTAACTTTTGCAGCTAACTTATGCATTTGAAATTCTTTTCTTCTTTCTTTCTTTCCTTTTTAAATTTTTTTAAAAATTATTTGTTTATTTGGTAAGGGTCTTGCTATGCAGCTAGGACTAGTAGTGTTCCTCCTGCCTCAGTTTCCCCAGCCCTGGGATTACAGGCGTGCACCACATGCCCAGTTTCAGGGCCAGCATGGTGCACCTGGTATTCTGGTCCAGCACACGTGGTACCAGGGATTGAACCCAGGACCTTGTGCTTGCCAGACAGGCAGCTGGATTGCCAAGCTATCTCCACATCCTTCCCCTCCCCCCTTTCTGAGATGGTATCTTGCCGTGAAATTCAGGTAGGACTTGAGCTCACTTTGTA